AGAGTGGGGAGCAGAACAGGCTTACTGATGAAGTACACTGCTGAGGGGAGCAGCGGGCGAGACAGGATGGGTCTGCTGTGCCATGTGGGTCAGCTCCGGGGCCAGGGAACAAACTGGCACCCAAGCAGCTGCAGCCAGCTTGCAGTGCTGTGCTTTAACCTGTTGCGACACCAGGGAGGGTCCTATTTTTTTTTTTTTTAAGATTTATCTATTTGGAAAAAAAAAAGATTTATCTATTTGGGCCCTCCCTGGTGGGCTCAATTATAAAGATTGATTTATTTATGCCTACAAGAACTGGGGTATAGTTCTGGGGTATAGTTGTGGTGAAAGGATTCACCAGAGACAGAGTGGGGAGCAGAATAGACAGATGGACTAAAATACACTGCTGAGGGGAGCAGCAGGCGAGACAGGAGAGGTCTGCTGCGCCATGTGGGTCAGCTCCTTGGCCGGGGATCAAACTCGTGCTGCAGTGGCTGCAGATAGCTTCATAGTGCTGTGCTTTCACCTACTGTACCACCAGTGAGGTCCCTGTTGTTTCCTTTTAGAGGAGTTTATGTATATTCCCCAGGGACCCTAGGAGAGCCAGTAAGCTACTGTTACTACTCCCCTTTGACAGAAAGGCAACCTGAAGAACAGGGTCCAGAACTCAGACCCACTCTTTCCACTTCAGGACACTGGTGCCACTACCCTGCCCCACCCCCCTTCCACCTTCCATCATGGAAGACGGAAAGCCAGTCCCTGTTCTGCTTTTAGTCAGAGGCCTACCTGTGAGTGTAGGAGGATGTTATCAGAGGCTCCAAGTTCCCCAGGGTTAGACACCCTCAAGGAGAAGCAGAGCGGTTACTGACCGGATGTCCGGACCTGGCCTCACTCAGCAGGCTGGGCAGAAGCCAGGTCACCTCCCCTCTCTCAGCCTCCTTACTTGTGAAAGAAAGACAAGGGATCCCTCAGGGAGGGCCTCCTGAAGGTCACCTTCCTCACCGTGACCTGGGCTGCCACTGATGAAATGGACGGCAGGAAGGTAGTCTTTGGCAGTCCTGGTGGTCAGCCGGGGCTCACACCTCTTGTCCATTCCAGGTAGCCGCTCGAATATGTCTGTGGCCTCCCATCTACTGTCGGATGAGAACCTAAGGAGGGCCTGCTGGCTCACACACCTCCTCATTGCTCCATGTCAGCAAGCTAAAATCTGAGCCCCAGATGACTCACTAGTAAACGAATAATAGTATTGTCCTGAAAAACTAGCTTAATAAAAGTACTGTTATTATTAAGTTCTCTCTATAGTCCGAGCTATTAAGAGCTTTCTGTATCTTGTTTCACTAAATCCTCTCAACAACTGGCTGAGTCAGATGCTTTCTAGCTGTATTTTCTGAATGTGAGGATTGAGGGGCTGAGAGTGAAGAGTAGATGAGGGTCCACCCAGCACTCAGGGGAGTCAGGAGAGGAAACCGCAAAGGCGAAGATGGTGTGGGTCACCTGGAGTAGCCAGGGCAGGGGCGTGCTGACGGCCAGCGCCTCCTCGTGGCCATTTCCTGTCTGTGCTTGGAGGGTTGTGGCTCTTCCTCAGGCCGCCTCTCTGTAGGTTGGATTTGAGGGGTACAGAGCATTGTGGGAGAAGAGCTTCTGAATCTCACATCAGATTCAAACACACAGTTCTTCTTCTGTCTCCAGAATATGCTGGGATATGACAGTCTGGAGGCCCCTGCCAGGGGTCAGCTCTGGAGCAGATGTAGTGGGCTCAGGCTGTTTTCTCTGTGGGGTCACTTACTAGAATTGTAAAACTGGGTTACATATTCATATGTGTATACTCACATATGTTCAAGTATTTGTTTACTATATATTTTTTTCTGACAAAAGTCTTTACCTGAAGGCCAGCAAGACAGAAGTTTGGACACTCGAAGTTGACAGAACTCACATCTCGCTCCTGGTGTGGATTTTCTCACTAGTGTTGCTTGACCTTGCTTTTTGCCCCAACAGTAGAGAACAAAGCTGGAGGGGATTATTCCAGGTGTTGGAACTTATTCACCTGGTGGGGTTGCAGAGTCTCTTCCCCCAGGATGTTGACTGAAACCACTGTCAGCTTTCTAACCACCCAGGCGCCACCTGCGTGCCCCGTGATTCTAGTTTAATTTCTTTGGTGAGGAAGCTTGGCAGCTGTTTTTAAAGCTCTCCAGCTGGTTTTGCGCAGTCTCTGTAAAAACTGTGGGTCAGAAGCTCGAGGATGGAGTTTCTGTGTCTTAAGTATGTATGAATGAAGTGGAGTTTGGGGTGACAGGGTGGGATGAGGAGCAGAGGACCCGGCTGTGAGCCAGGCAGGATGCTGCCCCCTAGTGGAATGTAGAGGCCGCGGCGGCAGCAATAGCCGCAGGGAGGCTTCTCTGAGCCTGAGCTGGGGGTGCTGGGGCAGCGTGGAAAGACAGTGTCAGAGTACTGAGTAGGTTGGAGTGTGACGTGCTTAAATCACACCAGCAATGAGTCCAAATTAATCACCTCCCAGACAGAGGGAAGGAAAGAAGCTGGTGAAGATGATGGAAACTAACATGGCCAGCTGAACCAGGCCTACTGGCAAGTGATAAGACTGCAGGGCAGGGAGCCAAGTGCCCAGAATGTCCATGGAGCACCTGTCACGTGAGACGTCTTCTTCAGTGGGTGGTTCTGGGGTGATTGCACAGGGTCTCCTGGGAGATATCTGAGGGCAGGAGCTCTGGGCATGATGTCTTGTGGGGGTCCCAGGAGCTGTGTGACGACAAGAGACCCCCTGGACATGGCCATGGCTGCTTGTGCTGGTCACCCACTAGTGAAAGGAAGAGCCCAGGGACGGCCTGGCTGGCTGTGGGTGCCCTGTAGCAGGAGGATGCCCCCTTGGCAAAAGCCCTTCCCTGAGTGTAGTCCACCTCAGAGGGACAGGCTCTCAGGATCCTCCCTGCCCTGCCAGACCAGATATGAAAGCTAAAGACACCTACCTGAGCTTTTAGGGACTCCCCCCTGAGGGAGAAGGCTCAGGGAGACCCAGCCTCCTTCCGGAGCTGGAAGGTGGGTCCCTCTCCTCTGTCTGGGACTCCAAGCCTGGTGGCTCTTGGTATTCCCCCAGGCCGCTTCTCAGGCACTCAGAGGCTCTAAGGCTGTGGGCCTGCTGGGGTGTGGACTCAGGCTTTCTGGAAGAGGTCCAGACCCAACTCCCATGTGAGGGGAGCAGTGTCTTCGAGAAAGAGGACAGTCAGGAGAGTGAGAGAGGGACTGAAGGAACATTGTGGGTTTGCCAGGACCGAGAAACCAGGGAGGGCAAGGAGCCTATCCTGAAAGTGAATCTCACAACAGAGGAGATGGGAGGGCTGGGTTTTTTGTGAAAGTGTCTTTGGGCATTAAAGCAAAGCCTCATCTCATCACACATTTGTTCACAGAATTCATCCAACATCTGGTCAATGTTTTAAGTTCTTACTATGAATCACAAGTTTCCCACACACTGTTTGACTTAGTTTTCATGAGAAACCACTGAGGAGGTGGCAGGATGGGGTGGAGGAGAAACCAGAAGCTCAGAAAGGTTTAGAAATGCACCGTGTAGGAGGCAGAGCAGAGATCTCTGACCTCAGGCCTCTAGTTCCTGAGAGGAGAGTGGACTGGCGGGAGTGGTGGATACCTCATGGTGTTTTCTTGCATCAGAGCCTCAAGGGCCTGGGACACATTAGAAATGTGGGGAAACTTGCAGGGGCATCTGTGTGGTCACCCCCTCTGGGTTGCCTGGAAGGGAAAGAGAACATCTGTATGAAAACTCTGGCAGCCTGAAAGTTGGTCATGTCTCTCCCTGTGTTGTGGTTATTATCTGCTAGTCCAGCCTTGTTCAAGGGCATGTGGAGGAGGCCAGAGGGCAGTAATGGCACAATTGTCTGCCCTCTGAGTACACACGTCTGAGTATTTCTGTGCCTCCACTGAAATAATAATAAGCAGTCCGTATTGAGCGCCTTCTGTGTGATATGCACTGATTTTAGACAGTTTCTCTTTTTTCTTGAAGGCATGAAGATTTTAGGCACTTTCGCTTATTTAATTAATCCCTCAAACAGCCATGCAAAATAGGGATTTTCATCTTCTGTTTGAACATACTAAGCTTGAGAGAAGGTGAGTAACTTGCCCGAGACCACACAGCAATTTTTGTCAGAGCTGGGGGCTCTATCAGGATTGGCTGACTTCAGCGTTTCTTGTCAACTTTTAAAGCTTTGCACACATGCTGGGCGCTTCCAGGAAGGGAAGGGAAAGGCAGCTAGGAAGAGTGGTTAGGATTAATTCTAACACCTTGTCCACTTTCCTCCACGGCACCATCACCATAGCTTCCCTGCCAACTGTCTTAAAAAGGAATGGCTCTGGCTGTCCAGGTTTCCTCCATAAATTGAAGCAGCATCTGGTCTTCGAAGAGAGCCAGGCATTCCAGAGCCCATCACCGAGAGTCGATGGCTCCTAGTTGGAGCGACCAGCTGGCACCAATTCCTCTGGGAGTGTCTGTGGGCAAAGTCTGCACAGTAGTTATTCATTTGCCCAAATTAGAGGACCCAGCAAAATGGTTCTGTTCACAGGCCCTAGAGAGGATCTGAATCTCAAGTCTGCAGCTCCTCTTTAGCATTCCAGTAAGGAAGCTGTTTCCAGGTGAGCACGGACACCCATGGGATCCTGGAGAAGCCAGGTGTGCTTTGCAGGCAGCCACACTTGCGGGAGAGGGGCCTCGCTCTCATCTCTGCCTTTGTATACCCCACGATCTTGCTCCAGAATCCCTAAATCCAATTCTTTTCTAAATTGGTCATCAAAACTCATTGTCTCAAAAACTAGACCTGATTTTACGCTCTTTATCTAGCCTCCTTAGGATAAGTGTGTATGCACTTTGTTGTGGAGGTGAAAACCGATGGTGAGGTACCGCCATGCTGTGCAGGGAAGTAAGTGGGGAAGATTCTTCCTAAAATCCCAAACACTCAAGTCTGGCTGCAGGCTTCCGGCGTTCTGCATGTTTCATAATGCACCAAGGGCCCCTCTTGCCCAGCAAACAGATGGCTTACTTTTAGATTCATGGAGAAGGCCTCCCCAGGGCCTCCCTAGTGGCGCAAGGGTTAAAGCCTCACTGCTATGAAGCTATCACCAGCCACTGCAGCCGAGTTTGATTCCCACCAGCCAAGTGACCCACATGGCACAGCAGACCTCCTCTGCCTCATGCTGCTGCCCTCAGCAGTGTGTGTTTAATCTGCCTGTTTTGCTCCCCACTCTGTCTAAATTTTAAGGAAAAAAAAGCTTTCCCAACCTGGATGACCAGATCTGGTGCTTGGAATTCCAAATATTTTTAATTGTAATTTCATTTATTTGCATATAATATAAGAATTGGAGTATAGGCCAGAGGTAGTGGGGGAGAGGGGAGTTGATTCACCAGGGACAGAGTGGAGAGCAGAACAGGCAGATTGATTGAAGTACACTGCTGAGGGGAGCAGCGGGCGAGACAGGAGAAGTCTTCTGCCCCATGTGGGTCAGCTCCCTGGCTGGGGATCGAACTCAGGCCACAGAGCTTATGCCAGGGTTCAGCCTTTGTCGTCTTCTTTCAAAGGTGATGAAACCCCAGATCACTTGGCTTCCTACATGTGGCTAGGCCCTTTTCCGTGTCCTCTATGGGCAAAGGCAGCTTGAGACAAGCCCGTTCTTGCCAGGCGGGAGGGGGAGGAGTTAGCCTTACACTTTGGCCCCCCAGCTCCCCAGGAAGGCCAAGCAGGCAGGGGAGATACCTGACCCGGTGGCGCCAAGGTGCGTCCCACCCAAGGTGCTTTCTATCCGCCAATGTCAGGGCGGCGAGGCTGGGACCACTGAGGTCGTGCCTCTCCCATTTTTTTTTTTTTTAAGATTTATTTATTGTGCATACAGAACAGGGTACAGGCCAGAGGCTCAGGGGAGGCGAGAGGCTTCATCAGAGACAGAGTGGGGAGCAGAACAGGCAGATGGACGAAGTACACTGCAGGGGGAGCAGCGGGCGGTCAGGAGAGGTCTGCCCCCCCCATGTGGTCACCTCCGGGGCAGGTGGGAATCGAAATCATGCAGAAGTGGCTTTAGCTTCTCAGTGCTGTGCTTGAACCCGCTGCCCCACCACGGAGGGCCTCCTCTCCCATTTTTAAAGGTCCCGGTATTTTGCAAAAGCAGAAGTGCCAAAGCGAGCATACCGACACTAAAGTCAGTTTAAAGGAGTGCGCTTGCGGCGCGGTCTTTCCGCAGCGGGGCTGAACGCGTCTGGCCCCGGCACTGCTGGGGTGCGGAGGCGGGGGCCGGAGAATGCGCGGCAGGGCGGCTGGAGCGCCCTCTGCCGGACGCAGCCAAGTCACGGCCGCCGCGAGCCTCGGTAACGCTCACTACGCCACCTGGTGGCGGCTTCGGGAACCGCGGGGGCGCGCGGACTCGGAGTCCCCGGCCGGTCCCAGCCGGAGCCTCCTGGCGGCCGAGGCAGCAAAGGGTTAAGCTGTCAGCGGCGCGATGTTAAACAGGTGTCAAAGGCGCCCCATATATCTGCAGATTGAAATCAAATTCTTTGCCGTATAAAAAGATAAATTACCCAGGCGCTGCCGCGCGTCCCACTCATCACGCCAGCGCCAGACGGCAAGCAATTTTTTTTTTTAATGTGCTAACGACCTAATCAAGCAATCAAGTCGGAGAAGATTGCAGAGTGACCGGGGCAGCCATCTGCCGGCGAGCCCCGCATTCATTTCCCGCGCCCCCGCGAGGGGCGGGGGCCGGGGAGGGAGCTGCCGGGAGGGAAGAGGGGGAAAAATCCTAAACAAATTAACACCCAATTTTCCCCGTCTAATTAGTTAAATGAGAAGTGTTTGGGGTCCCCCGGGGAGGGGGACGGCTCGCCGCGCAGCTCTCGCTGCCTCCCCAGCATTAATTAGTGCGGGTCAATGCCGCGGCTCCCGGGAGAGCGGCCGCTTTAATTTCCCGTGATATTTCAGTGCCTGAGGCCCATCGATTCAAACTGAAATTAACTTATTTTTCAATCAGCCCAGGGCTGCCCCTGGGGGTGACTCTTCTTTTGCCGCCTCCTGAATAGAGCTGGAGCAATTTTTCATCAAAAGCTGAAACCTCCGCCGCCCGGGGCGGGGGAGGGGCCCGGAGGGAGGCGGGTGGGCAGCCCGAAGCAAGGGAATGGAAATCGCAGAGGAAACTAATAGATTTTCACGAACCCCCCTCTTCCCTCCCCTCAACCCCCACTTTCCAGGGCACCGCGGGAGTCCAGCCGCCCCGAGGGTCAGGACCCCGGGAGGCTGTGAGTGCACAGAGGGCCGGCGGGGCCGGGGTCCATCCTGCGCCCACTGGTTTCCACGGGGCCTCTCTCCTCCTTGAGGGCCAGTGCTGTCCCTGCCTCTGGCTGCTGCCAACTGCCGGGAGACGCGGGAACCTGCTTGGGAGACCAAGAAGTCTGGCTTCCAGCAGCATGGCTGGGATCTATGCTGAAAGCCCCAGCAGGAGTGCTGTGGGTCCCCCCCAGGGCAGCACCAGTCAGCTTTGGGGCCATGGAAGCATCCTTGAGGGTGGCCCTACTCCCACTTGCCCCCCTCACCACTGAGACTTTCATCTTCCTGGCTTGGCTGAGGGGTGGCCGCTCAGCAACTCCAGGTAACATGCAGAGTTAGGGAGCTGGTGGGGGACCCTGTGATGGCCGCTCCATGATGGCACCTGGAAGGCCAAAAGGGGAGTTGACTCAAGCCTCTGGAAGTGTCCTCTGCCCAGTTTGGGGGGTAGAGTATTTCCCAGGCTTCCTGTGACCTGTTACCCCAAGATCATCCACACCCTGCCCCCTGGGCCCACCCTTACCCCACAGCAAGACCGGTCTAGCCCCTGAAAGGAATCCGACCCTCTAAATCAGGAAAAGTTTTCTGTGGTTATGCTGGGGTGTGAGAAAGTGAGCCAGCCCCTGAGAACCACGTGGGTGCTGCACACACACACACACGCACACACACGCACACACACACACACACACACCCTGCCCCTGGGGGGTCCCTACATTGCTCTAGAATTGCTTTGATTAAAAAACGGAAACAGACCTATTCCACCATTGCATTCCCACCAGGCCCCGTGTCCCCATTCTGAATACCCCTGAATCAGGGGGAAGCTCACCCCAGGGCTGGTGAGCTGCTGAGCTTCGACAAGGACTTGGCTGTATAAACTGGCTGGAGAGCGCAGCCGCCCAGGGATGGGGCTACGGGCAATTGTTAAACAGAAACCAGTCCACAAGTGGAGGTGTCTGTGCTAAGCCCATCAGGACTTAAGCCTGACCGCACACTTCAACCGGGAGCATAGTCTTAGTTGTCAGTATGGAATTTCCTGGTCAGCTCCAGAGGGTAAATTTTTCCCATTCCCCGGGCACAGGGCTTCCCCACCCCCACAGGTAGGTTACCTGTGCTTGAAACAAGGCCCTCGCCCTCATCTTGCCCTGGCTGCCTGGAGGAACCCTGTATCTTGTACTCTGCGTCCCTCTTGTCCTTACTAGATGGGAAGCCGCCCAGTGCCTGAGGGTTCAACAAAGCTGGTCAGATCTTTAAAGTGAATTCCGTCGGATTTTGTTCCGTGACCCATGGGGGTGGGGCTGGACCGGACTCCAGGCCGCAGGGGCTGAGGGCCTGCCGGCCTCGCAGAGAGCCCCTGACCTCTCGGCCTGCACTTGCAGGTCTGGTTCCAGAACCGCCGAGCCAAATGGAGGAAGCGGGAGAAATGCTGGGGCCGGAGCAGTGTCATGGCGGAGTATGGCCTGTACGGGGCCATGGTACGGCACTCCATTCCCCTGCCCGAGTCCATCCTCAAGTCCGCCAAGGATGGCATCATGGACTCCTGTGCGCCATGGCTACTGGGTAAGAGCCCACACGCTCCTTGGGGCCCTGCCCACCGCGGTGAGGATAGCGCTGCCTAGGGGAGAAAGGAAGCTCAGGAAGGATGAGGTTGGGGGGTGGACTGGCTCCAGCAGCCTAGCAGGAGAGAGCCCTCCAAGCTGTCTGGAGGCCCTGGAGGGCCTCCAAGCCATCTGGGGTCTGGAACCCTGAGTCTGTCCCTTGCACCCACACACTGGGTGTCTAGGACTCTCATCCTGGTGGGGGTCTCTGGTCTATGAGGAGGGCATGGCTTGCTCCAGGATCTGGATCCTCCTCTTCCTTTAGCTAGAGATGGGTTTGTGGTCATGAAAACAACCCCCCTCGGGAAATGAGGACACCCTGAGTCCCTTCAGCTACTATTCCCGCTTTGCTGAAAGGACTTCTTCCCCCAAAATCTCTCCACCTACCGTCTTCCTCACGGCCGTTCTCACCCCTATGCTGCCATCTAGGCCAGTGTCTTGTCATAGTACCAGCTTATCTTGGGGTTCTAATCAGGAATCCTAGTCGGGAGGGATGGGGGAGCAGGTGCTGTGTTTGGGAAGGGGCAGAACAGGCTGCTGGTGGCCAGGTGCGCGTGGGCTTGTCTAGGGAGGCCCCCACGGGGCTGGTGCGGCCCCACCCCTGCCTGCCCTGTGCCCCCCTGACCCCGGGACTCGCATGACTGCGGCGCGTGAAGTAAGGCTTTCTACTGTCCTTAATTCTGGCCTCTCTCTATCTTTGCTGTTTTCAGTTCAAGATGGCTTTCCCAGGCGCTTTTCTAAACCCGAATACCAACAATTCTTTTTAGGGATGCACAAAAAGTCGCTGGAGGCAGCAGCTGAGTCGGGGAGGAAACCCGAGGTGGAGCGCCAGGCCCTGCCCAAGCTCGACAAGATGGAGCAGGAGGAGCGGGACCCCGACCCTCCTGCAGCCATGTCCCAGGAAGAACTGAGGGAGAACAGCATTGCAGCCCTCCGAGCCAGAGCTCAGGAGCACAGCACCAAAGTGCTAGGGACTGTGTCCGGGCCCGACAGCCTGGCCCGGAGTGCTGAGGAGCCAGAGGAGGAGGCTGTGGAGGAAGACAGGCCGGCGGAGAAGCTGAGCCCCCCGCAGCTGGAGGACATGGCTTAGGTCAAGGCGCACAATCACTGGAGCCCCAGGACTCCGTTCTCCTCGGGGCCTGTGGTGCTGGAGGCCCAGGCCTGGCCTCCGCCACTCTCCCCCTGCCCCGCAGGCCCTCCAGGACCCCCGGGTGACTTCAGGCACAGCTCAGTTCTGGCTGAGGCTTTGGGCCTCGCCGGAGCCTCCCCTACCTAGTGTCCATCTCTCCAGTCGCCTCCTCGTCCCGCCGTCCCTGCCTCAGAAGCCTTCTTGCTGCCCCACACCACCTCCTCAAGCTGCTTTCATGCAATACCTGGGAAATCCTCTGTCCTGAGCCTCCCCTTGCTCTGTTCTCTTGCCCCTTCTCAGCGCTCCACCCCTGTGGATCCTGCTGCCCAGACCTCTGCTGCAAACACCACACCTGCGTGTCAGGGACAGGGCACCGCACTCCAGGGCCAGAGTCCTGAGCCCCCAGTCAGCAAAACCCCCTCAGCCTGCTCCTTCCCTCAGGCCTGCTTCATCACCTGCAGGCAGGTGCAAACTCCTCCGCCCATTAGTGGGGCCCAAATTCCCCGCTCAACTTGAGAAGAGTCAGCCTGGGCCCCTCCCTCATTCATCCTCTATCTCATGCCTTCCAAGGTCACCCCAGGACCCCACTCTCTTGGCACCCAGCCTGCCCATGGCTCCTCCCAGCACAGGTGCACACCTGCATGTGGTGATATACAGTAACAGCGAATCCAGGCCTCTGTGTGCTGCCAGGGTACTTCTCAGCCTTGCTGTGGCTCACCACGCTGTCCAGGAGGCCAGGCCTTACCCACGGCTCTCAGGCCTGTGTCCTGACACATTCTGACGCCTCTGGCATGCTGCCCATTAGGTATTCTTCCCCAGAGCTTCTTGCAAATGACTGGTTTGCATGTGCCCTGCTTTGGAACACCCAACCAGCTGTCATGAATACCTAAGAAGCCACAGGCCTTAATGCAGCTTGATCCAAGCCAAGCTGGAGTGGGCCAGGGGGCTGTATAGATTCATCGAGGTCAATCAGAAGAAGGGCATGAGAAAGCACTGGAAGGAGAACAAGCTCACCCCCATGCTGGGGGCCCGTGGCCATGCATGTCCGCTCGCTTGTAAGACAGACACAGCGACCCTCTAGTGTGGACTTCTAGTGAGGCCGAGATCTGGGAGGCTGTGGTGAAGGAAGTCAGACACGGGGACGGCTCTGCCCAGCATGCAGTGAAACTTTATTTTTAAGCATCCATTTTATACCCCTTGCTCCTGAGCTTCAGCAAAAGCATATCTTTTTAATTAAGCTCTGCATACATTTTACTTTTTCCCAGGACCTCTTCCTCAAAACAGTACTGAGCAGCTTCCTCACACACACACACACACACACACACACATTCTCTCTCTCTCTCTCCTGGATTTCTTTCCTTAATTGGCTCTTTGATTATCTTTACTGAAATGCTGGGCTGCGCCCGCGTGACCTCTACCTGTGTTCCTGGCTCACAGTCCTGGTTTCCTGGTTTTCCCTTAGATGCGTGCGTCCTTGCATGCTCCAGGCAGACTGTCACCAGGTGCCCACCAAGGTGAGGCAGGCAGCACGCCAGCGCTGTAGGAGTAAGGGTGGTCTCCTGTCTGCTACCTGGAGGACTGTCCATACTGGTGGCCTCTTCTGCCCCCAGGCCAGGCCCTGACTCCCTCACCCCCGCCCCATCCCAGCCACCTTTGCAGGGAATGTGGAGTGCGGAGGTAGCCTGAGACAGCTAGCTGGGATTTTAATTCCATATCAAAAGTTGATTTCTTCTTCCTTCTGTTCATGGAACGCCTTCCTCCCCCACTCCCACTCCAGTTCTTGTCTTTGTCCCTGTTGGTTTGAAGTGTTAGACTGTAGCCCCTGGCGTGTAAATAATGTACATAGAGTGAGAAGAAAGGACTTGATATCGAGGTGTTTGAAATAAGGAGCTGTAATGACTTCTAGGTATTCTCAACCTGTGATTTCTGTGCCATTTTCTGTAAAGACACAAGTAACAATAAAATTGATGTAAAAACACAGGAGGGATCCAGGAAACCCCCGTGGGTAAGGATGGTGTGTGTATGCGTATGTAGAAAGCACAAAAAAGTAAATCCATGAAGTCACTTTTAGGTCAAATTCGCTTGACTCCTCCTCTGAATTACTCTAACTGTGGCGACACGGTGGCCTGCCGCTTGGCACTGAGCTGGCATTTATCACCTGCCATGACATGCATCACTGTGATATAGAACCCTCCTCCCTTGAAGCCACCACGAAATGTCCTGGCCATTGAGCCCTAAGTTATGACCACGCCACCCTCCGCTCCCCAACAACAGATTACATTTACCTTTCCTCAGCTACTTCCTCATAAACAACCCTATTTCCCCTCACTCTTGGGGCAAAGCCCACAGCCCACCTCAGGCCCCTAAGAATGTGACTCCTTCCTTTTGTTTACACGTGTCCAGTGTGTATCTTTTTTTGTTTTTAAAGATTAATTTATTCAGACAGGTCAGAGATGCGGAGGGTGAGAGGATTCACCAGGGACAGAGTGGGGAGCAGAACAGGCAGATCGACGAAGTACACTGCTGAGGGGAGCAGCGGGCGGGTCAGGAGAGGTCTGCCAGGCCATGTGGTCACCTCCAGGGCACGCAGGGATTGAACTCATGCGGAAATGGCTTAAGCTTCTTAGTGCAGTGCTTTAACCCACTGCACCACCAGGGAGGGCCCCAGTATCTTACCTACAACTCCAACAAAGTGGCAGGGCTGGAAAAGGCAGTGGAATAGGAACTGAAGTCGCCAAACCTCTGCTAACCCTGTCACAGAGGGAGGAAGGGAGACTGGAGGAGCGGCTGTGACTACTCCAGAGAGCAGGGACCCACCTGCTCAGGGTGTGTTGGATGGAATGACAAGGTGGTGAGTGGCGGGGAGTGGGCGGCACAGATCACATTTGAGCTTTTGGCTCAAGAAATCTTGGACCATTGTTTCAAGTCAGCTCAGATTTAGACTCTCCTGTCCCAGGAGATTTTTCTGGCAGCTGTCCTCAGGGGGAATGGTGAGTGGTTGGAAGCCCTGGTACCCTGGGTTGGACCCAGGGACAGTCGTCTCTGCCCCACAGTCTGGGGGGCACAGGGTGGCCACACCCCTCCTCCCCAGCACATCCACTCCCTCAGTCTAGGAAAGGCCTCTTTGCCGCACCCAACCCCCAACATTCCAGAAAATACCCGTCACTCATGCATCGAGTTCCCCTCCTCCCTGGAAACCTGTTCACCCCCAGGAAGAGGGTGACCTCCATTCCCTCACGGCAGCCCTGATGTCCCCTCAGTGTCCTGGCGCTTGCTGTGATTCCCCCCAAGGCTGACTTCTCCAAGGGTGGGCACTGTATCTTATTTATCTCTTATCCTCACGACCTGACACTCAATCTATTGTTGAAGGAATGGATGTCCTTCCTCTAACTCATCCATTGAATCAATAATTTAAAGATATTTATTGCGCGTCCGTGTACCAGGCACTGGGGAGAGGGTGGGGGGAAAGGGGCCTGCTCAGAGGGAAAGACAAACAGAATTCAAGTAATCGCGTAAATAAAAGGCAAAGTTGTAGCTGTCCTTGCACGGAGATGTGACAGAAGCGGGGACAGTGACAGCACATCCACGGGACTCAGGTCAAACCCAAAGGTTTGGGTCAGAAAGTCTGAGCCTCTGTCCTGGGCTCTCGGTTGGAACAAGAAACCTCAGGACAGCCCGAGTGCTGGGAAGGCACAGCGAGGGGCCTGCGAAGGCATCAGCTGAGCACAGGCTGGTGGCTGCACCAGGTCAGCCGCTGGAGCTGGGGTGCGGTGTCTTTGCAGCTGCCCCAGCTTCAGTTAGCTCAGAAGCTGGGGAGCTGCCAGAAATCCCCTGGACCATCGCCCCAGGGGCCCTACTGCTGCCTTCTGCAGAGGGACATGCAGCGAGGTCTGTGGGGCATCTGTGAGGGCCGAGGCTGGGATGCGGATGCAGAGAAGAGCCCGGACAGGAGAGGAAGGGCCCAGATGGCCAGGGACAGAACAAGAGAGGGTGCTCGCTGGCCACACCCAGAAAGGACTTCTCCCTAGACCGCAGGATCCTGAAACCCAGCATCTGGAAGAGGGCCTTCCGGGGCTCCTCAGGCCCAACAGGCGTGGAGACATGACTCGTGCACCATGAAGAGCGAGGGAGTGATGAAAAGACCGGAGGGAGCATTTATGAGGGCTGCTCGGAGCTGCTGAGAGGGCCTGGTGGGGCAGGTGAGAAGGCGTCTGGCTGGTTGTGGGGACAGTAGGAAGTGCAGGTGAGGCCCAGTCCTAGGGCCACGAAGAAAGGGGGTGATGGTCTGAGCGCCCGCTGGGCCTTGTTGCTCATCCAGCTCTGTCTCCCGCAGCTTGCTGGGGGCCCCAGAGTCGTCCTCCTGCCCTGCTCCCACCAGAGGGCCTCTGCCTCTCCCGGCAGGCTCCCCTCAGGGTGCAGAGGTGGAGCAAAGGGCCCACCATATGTATAGCAAAGTAACCACAGTAATATCGTCACAGATTTCTTTAGTCTAAAAGTATTACTTTAAAAACATGAATTTGAAAAAACAAAAAACATGAATTTGTTTTCTAGAGGGAAAACTGCAGGTGGCTTCTTTGGGTTAGAACATGTGCCAGGGCTCTGCTTACTGAGTGTGTGTACTAGACTCCCTTGGTCACCCAGGCACCCCAGACCCACCTCTGAGCCTTGAACTGAGAATGGGTCAAGAGCTAATGGACTCAAATGGTTCCGTCTCCTGGTGTCTGCTTGGTGCCTTCTTAAGTTACCATGTCCCCTCCTCCCACCTCCTCAACGCCAGCAACAAGGAAGCCCCTACTTCCACACAGCAGAATAGGCCCAGCCCAATGGCTCCTATCCCAGGTCAACCCCAACTCCAGCGCTGCTCCTCGGGGCCTCCTCCCTTCCCTGAGTTACTCCCCCCCCTCCGCCCCTGCCACCTCCCCATCCCCAGCCCCTGTCAAGCCTCAGAGTTAGCTGTACTA